CTTTCAATTTGACTCGAAACTAGTGACGCCGTTACATATCTCGTCACAGGTGATTGTAACTAGTGACGTGAAATAACGCTCACGTCTATCTGAGCGTATGTTATGAATGGAATATGACGATTGACGTCAATTGTCTCATGACAACTCCGGTCGCGTTTTAGTTGCTCGAAAATGGTCTTAATCTTATTTTATTATTTTTAGCTCAATGGTTGAATATTTTCGCGTCATTTTTTTCTGGTTATTTTATAACAAGTAGAATCGTTGAAAAAAAGAAAAAAACACATGCATATTCCCTATTGTAGAGTCTTCTAACCGACAAGCAAAGTCTGGGGCATTTCCTAGTTACATTATAAGGCACAAGTACTTCCTTTACAATTTGCGTTTTTGTTTTCAAAAATAAAGAATTTCCCTTTAATGTGGACATACTACCTTGTTGGTAACCCTAAATGCTCAGAGGCGCCATGCTGTTTTTAATTTAGCGAACAGTTTGCCATGCTCTTTGGTTAAAACTTTTGTTGGCAACACCATCTGCGTCGAGTACCCTGCTCTGTTATTTGTGAATCAAAAAACTCTTTGGCGCAAAGTAAATATAAATCAAAAGCACGATTATTGTTCAACTTTTGAAAGCACGTCAGTTTTGAAAATGAAAATTATGACCCAGAAACGAGCTGCGTTGTTACTGTTCCAACATTTCAATCGGAACAAAATTACAGCATATGCTAGTCGTTGCATAACCAATACGACTGACGATATTTGCACCCATACAGGACAAGTATTTATTTTGTATTAATAAAATAAGTTTTACCTTTATAAATGCTATGTTCATCTTGCATTTGCACAATTTCTTTATATGAAGTTTGCATAGACGTAGATATAAACTATTAAATAAAATATTGTGTATCATAATATAAAAAATATTCTCTCTACAAACTACTACAGACAATTATGCCTGTCTTCTGTGAGAACTATCTCACAGAAGATAAGCATCATGTAGAGTTTGTGTTGTGTATGTTGTTAATTTATGATAAGCGAAGAGGTTGAGTTCAACTCAAATCCTCTTTCCCTTTTTACACTTTTATTTATAAAGGACTAGGACTATATAAGGAAAGTCAGAAGAGGAGACTTATTATCCTCTTCCTGCAAATTTTCTCTATATGTAACACATCTGCACTTGTTAATTTCTTGTAAATCTATAGGCAGCGGTCACCTTATTGTTCTAGTGATAGGCTTCTAGTTTGTATACCTGCCAACTTATACTATAAACAACAGATTATTGCAGTAATTAAATGTATAACTATAATAAAAATGTATGTTTTCAGAAATGGGATTCTGATGATTATAGACTTGCTAGATTCATGAATGCCCCAAAACATGTTAATCAAAATTGGGCAGTTAAATTAATTTCAGAAGTACCACCTAAAGAAGTAACTGAAAGAGTTGTTTGGTGTGACGGAGGAAGTGGGCCAGAAGGTCATCCAAGAGTTTACATTAACTTGGTAATGTTTTCATTTCATTTTGTAGCATAAAACCAATGAGTAAGTAATATCTAAAAAATAAATTACGTTACCTACACATGATGTATTTTCGTTATTTGTAATGAAAAAAATTGTCAGTCCACAAATCTCCTTTAATTCAGGATACTCATCAAAAAAGCTGAACTAATTTTGATGTGACTTTTGCCGGAAGGTTGCTTATGTGTTCACCAGTGACCATTGAAACTTACATATAGTGTACATTTCTATCATTCTAGATTTTAGTTTTAGATGAATTATTAATGTCTATAAATATGTTAAAGTATATAATGTGAACCAAACATTTGCATTACCAATCATTCTTACTATATATAAAGGGATGACAATAATTCCTTTTGTAAGCGTTTCAACTTTGCCACTCTATTAATAATCTTATTTTATTCTTCAGGATAAACCTGGTGATCACTCATGTGGGTATTGTGGTCTTCGGTTCATAAAAAAAGAAAGTCATTAACAAAGTGGAAGAAAATCCTAATTTGTTATTACAAATTTGTTAGAAATGATAAATATGGAATTTGAAATAAAATTATAGTTAACTGATCAACATTTTATTTAAAAATTCACATACATGAACATTTGTGTTTTGTATGTTTTGTTTAGACTAAATGATCTAGTTATAATAAATTAGTAAGCAAGAGATATCAGCTTTTCATTTATACATTTTAATTCTAAAATTCATCACAATCTTTATAAACTTCTTAAGTTGAAATCCTGAGTCAAAAAAGATGCCATTCTCTTTTATTAAACCCCCAAACTTGCTATCTCAAAATATTCAGATTTTGTAATTCCAACAAAATTTTATCTGCCTGTATAGCCACTCTAGTACTCATACTTAATAGCATTAATTTCAAAAATCAGACTAAGTCTCAGTTAAGAACATAATGATAGTTTGCTTGATATTTCCTGTGAAATATATATGTTTGTTCTACTTCTTATAAAGTTGAAGATTTTATCAATATCTTAAATCTACTGTTCACATGTAAATTTTACAAGTAATTTCAAAGTATATTAAAAAAGGTGATGCAGTTCAATTAATACTAAAATGGAGAAATGACTGAAAATTGGCAACTCCACATTCTGATATAGAGGATAGAGCATAGTGGAAAAGAATTATAAGAAAAGCAAAAACCCCCCACCATATTTTAAAATACCAGAGTAGAGTTAGAGACTTTTTAAAACTTTTTTTAATTCAATTCTCATTTGTTGCATTTGCATCCTTTAATTGTTGACGTATATCAATATTGGATTGTAGAAGTTCTTTAAGCTTCTTATGTATATCATCATTCTTCTGCTCTAAAAAGTCCAGTGCTGAATTTAATTCATCAAGTTTAGAATCCAAAAATTCGTACTCTGAAAAAATATTGCTGTATGGATAAAAATATTTTGACAATATGAATACCAATTGGTGGCAACATGTTACTGTTAAGTGGTGCCACATCACAGTGTACAAGACAACAGTTCAAAGAAATAAATGATTAATCAAAGTGTTGGTAATTATAGATGAGCAGCATTGACAATGAGTTAGTGGTATTGTTACTCATAAATATTCCATTTGCTTATGATACTCCAATGGCAGATACATATAAACGTGTAGGTATTTTCTATCGCTGCCGCCAACTGTTGTCAGATGTGCCTGACTTCTAAGTTCTATGCAAACATTTTCCGCGGACCTTCTTTCGTTCATTAAACTTTATTCTCCTTGCAATTCGTAGTGTGTTTCGACCTCCGCTTTGCACAAAATACTAGCAAAGAATGTACATATTCATATTGCATATTACCCATTAAAAATCAAAGACAATCACCTTCACGAATATTTTCGTTATTTTCAATGTTTGCACTGCCATCAATTCCTGTTTCGCTATTTTCAGGCTTGTTATCGTCGTTTCCAGCCATTTTTACGCTGCAATAATTTGATATTGTGTGTAACTATACAAATTGGTCAAAAATTCTAAATTTATCCACATACACTATTTTATAGTCTAATTTTATCGGTATTATTAAATTTAGCACTACTGTAAGGAATTTATTAATTATAAATTCCCCACCTGTCAACAATATTATGACTGTGCCATAGACAAATATACTGCTGAGAGCGGAGAGGTCACGAGTACCAGTACTGACATCTATAGATGGACAAGCTGTAAATAGTGGTTTTTGTGCATATTTGATGCTTATATTTTCTATACTATATTCATTACTAGAATTGTCCCCTAAATTAGTTAAAATGTGAGTAATCATTTTAGATATGTTCGATAAATTTTATTCAAACTGAATACACTGAATGTCGATAGTTCATGTAGCGTGTTTGTTTCGTCACTACGATACTCGTCTTTAAACTACGGCAATAGCCTTTATAGATTTTGATACTTCATAAATATGCATTACTTATCAAGCTAATTAATTTTACTTAGACAAAAACTAGACATTCCCAAACAGTAACCTATCCGTTTAAAAGGGATCAATGATCAATATTTATGCCACCGATATGCAACTGACGCGACCATAGATTTCGACATTGACATTTTGAACAATTTATTATCTGTGAATGAATTTATTACGTGGTGAAAACCAATATTTAGATTTTTAATATCTGTCCATATCTTTATAGTATAATTTACATTTACTTACCTTATATTGTTAAGTTGTTACGGCCCACCAAGTAAAATTATTTAGTTATTGTGCATTTAAATACGGTGATTCATTAATATCTGTCTTAATTTCAAAATGTGAGATGGATTTCTATTTGTAGGAATAATAAAGTGATTTTAAATTTGTTTCTTGTAGTACTAGTACAAATTATTTACTATCAATATTTTAACAATAGGGTGTTGCGAACATAAAATCTTCTTTGGGAATTATTGAAAATTGTATATTTTGATTTAGGCATTCGATATTTGGAACAATGACTCACTTTGTACATTAGTTACTAAGTAGTAAAGTATATAATATTGGATTTTATTTTTCTTTGTTTGTAACCAATTTTCAACAACTTAATATTTCAGCAAAATGACATCGGGGCCGTACAATTACTCATACATTTTTAAATATATCATTATTGGGGACATGGGAGTTGGAAAATCATGTTTATTACATCAATTCACAGAAAAAAAGTGTAAGTGTAGATAGTGAGCCAGTTAAAGACATTTTTTCAGTTTTTTATGTTTGATATAAAAGGCCATAGTCATACTTAGCAGATGCTTCACAAAGCTTGATTAGACATTTAGTGAATCTGAGAGTAAACATTTTGGCACATAATAAGCCTTTTTTGTGCTACATCAATTAATTTATTTATATCATTCTCCATTACAATTGGAACCTGTAAAAATAGTTTATGCATTTGTATAAAAGAGGCTTTTGGTATCTGAGTTTGTAGTTGATAACTATGGTTTGCTGATTTTACGGTATAGTAATTATTAAAAGTTTACAGTTATGGCAGACTGTCCTCATACAATTGGTGTGGAATTTGGCACTAGAATAATCGAAGTTGCTGGTCAAAAAATTAAGCTTCAAATTTGGGACACAGCAGGGCAGGAAAGGTTCAGAGCAGTGACACGTTCATACTATAGAGGTGCTGCTGGTGCACTTATGGTTTATGACATTACAAGAAGGTAAGATATTATTTAAATTTTATGTTAAAAATTTATCGTGTAAATTTATGCTTTCCATGTTTATAAACATTATTTGAATTATGAAATGTTAAAAATTATTAAAATGTCATAGATGCAAAATAAAAATTGAATTTCCTTTTTTTTATTAGATCCACATATAATCATTTAAGTAGTTGGCTCACAGACACACGTAACTTGACAAACCCAAGCACTGTGATATTCCTTATTGGAAATAAGTCTGATCTCGATGGTCAGAGAGATGTTACATATGAAGAAGCAAAACAGTTTGCAGATGAAAATGGTCTTATGTTTGTAGAAGCTAGCGCTAAAACGTAAGTATCCTCCAAATGTCTTCTGTTATTTGTCATGTTAGTGCAACTAGTAGCATTAATAACTATAAACTTGAAAGTTTAGATAAATGGATGGCTGAATGTTTGTTAGAAGGTATCTCTAGTACAGCTCAATGGATATAGTTCAAAATTGGCACAGATATAATTGGAAAAAAATGCCTATGTGTACTTACAGACATAGTCAATTTTTTGCAAATGTGGAATTTTTATAGTTAGAAACTGTTGCAACTAAACAAGTAATTAAACTATATTGTTGCATCAGTACCTAAATGAGAGTAATCCCTTGGAACCTCCCATCCCTTGAAACATCCCTAGGACATTGGAAATTTTTACATTAATTTTTATAATGCAGAGGTCAAAATGTAGAAGAAGCATTTCTGGAGACGGCAAAGAAAATTTATCAAAGTATTCAGGATGGACGGCTGGACCTGAACGCGGCGGAATCCGGCGTGCAGCACAAGCCCGCCGCGCCCGGCCGCCCGCTCGCCGCGCCGCCCGCGCACCGCGACCACTGCGCCTGCTAGCCACACCCCACACCCCGCACCTCACTCTTTATACTAAATGCTCTATTTACTCTCCATCACTGTCTTTCTGACATGTTTTGTTTCTAAAATTGATAATAATAACTATTAATATATTTTTAAAGTGTAATTATACATATATATTGAGCAACTAAATATTTAAACCTATTTTACTTTTTGTATTGTACATTCCACATAACCATAATTTAAAACATTTTCTTTTATAAAAAAACGCGTTTTTGTCGATGCGCGTGACTTAAACTCCTAGGAAATAGTGAAACGACCTCGCTATAACAATGATCTCGTCAGTCTGGAAAATTCTTTCGTTACAAAATGTATAAATACACACGCATGTACGAAACTATGTCGATATTTTGTAAAATCGTATTTACATTTCTACAATTAAATGAACCTAGATAATCTGCTTACATTAGCTATTATCCATTAAAATCCTGTTAAAATCGGTCAGCCCTTTCTTACCCGGAACAAACGCGGTGTTGTAGTCAAACAAAAATTGTTTTTTCTTTATTAATAACATATATACATCATGTTAATGAATGTAAAAAATATTTAACGGTTTTTTTGACTATTCATTCTTTACAACGTTGAATATAAAAATGTGTATATTTTTGTATTCTGAAAATTATTACGTTTCATGTGAGTTTAATGCGTACGTATCGACTATTGGTAAATTTTTGACCGACTTCCCAAAAGAAGGAGGTATTCAATTCGACGGTATGTTTTTTTTTTTTATAAAAGTGGTCACTCCTTAATCAATCTTAATACAATTTATTGGATTCTAAATATATTTTTGTGTCCTTAACATCATGAGTATCTTTCAATTAATGTAATGTTATTTGTTACACCTAAAATTAGTTATATAATTAAAAGTGGTTTAGCTTATATATAGCACTTGTTTTTTAAATATTGTTACTTTCGATTATTCCATAATTTGAAAGAAGTTAAGGTTAACAAAGAAACAGGTATTTTAAGATTTTAGAGAATACGATATAGGAATAACTTTCTCCTTAATGTACTGCTATAACTGTTGTATTACTACATTTAATTAAAAGTTTCGTATGCACTTATATTTTGTTCCATTATAATAAGATCTGTTATTTTCTCACGCCTGTTACGTCAAAACGTTTTGATATAAAGTACAAAAGTATTTGAGTAACATGCCGGTAGAAATTGGTAAATCTGGCTTTCCTCTCGTAGAGCTAAATTCGGGATCATTAAAATATTTTTATAGTAACATCAAGCAGTTTCTATACCATTCTTATTTTGGGTCTTGAAAGTAATTGTAGTTGTTAAAGAGTTAAGATATAAATAAAATTAGCGTTAGAATGAAACTGCATTATACTATAAAAGTTGTTTCGAATAAAACTTATTAGAAATGTGAATTTGATGTAAAATTATTGAATACCAAAGTGGTTCGTCCCATTCAATAGTTTCACTAGTTAAGTATCGGGCTTGGTTTGTGTGTCAGGTGGACATTAGTTAAAATGCATATACATGTAATCTTAAATATCATTATTTGTCTGATGCTAACTTATTCATTTTGATTTGAATTTATTTATTAATCGTATATTAGCGTTATATGAGAAAATATATAAATAAACAATGACCTATCGTTATTTTGATTTTATTTTATACTGGTACACCCTCATACATTTTATAGAGCTACAAACTTTTAGCTATGAGATAAACTTAAGTAGTTTGTTGTCATGTCAATAACATTGTATTATAAAGGACACTCTTCTGATTAAATTTTCAACGCTGTTATTTTTGTGTCGAAAATTATTGAGTCACCAGCTCTCTATGTCAAAGACTCAAGCCATATAAAAGGTGAAAAAACGAAGTGTGAATTATGTATGTATTCCAATTGAATATCTAGTATGCAAACTAATCGAGAACCTCCCTGTTTTTAAGGTCAAATAAAAATATTACAATGGGTGTTTTTAAATTTGATCTATTAATTCTTACATATGTTATGAATACAATGTCTTACTTCGTTTGGTCGATAGATAATGTTAAATAATCCATATAAGAATGTTGATTTTTGATTTAAATCAACTTATTAATTTATTACTTTTAAATATAGATATATTCATCGACTTGAATTTCATTTTAAAAATACCCTGACATGTTCCTATCACATTAAGAATGTTAGAAAAATAAAAAAATGACTTTACGTACAATTTAACATCTATGCCGCCAATGATACCGTTCTCATTGCCATAAGATTATAAGATTTTATCCAATATACATTTTAAGACAAACTATAACTTGGTAACATTTTTATCAACAAGGCTGCGCAACGATTGTCAAAATCGAGCTAGATCTTGATAAGGCACCGATGATACAGTTTGGAGGGCGCGGAGTGCAGCAGCAGGTCGCGCATGTGGCGCAGCGCGGTACTGCGCGCAGCCGGTGGCGGGATGCGGCGATGTTACAGTTTGGAGGGCACGGAGTGCAGCAGCAGGTCGCGCATGTGGCGCAGCGCGTGCTCAAGCGCGGCGCGGTACTGCGCGCAGCCGGTGTCGGGATGGCGGCGGAAGGCGGACGTGGCGAAGTTGACGTCGTCGTCGCGCGGGTTGTAGCAGGTCGCGTACCCGTCGGCCACCAGCGGACCGTAGCACATGAACCCGTCGCACTTGCACGCCACCTGACGTGACAATCGCTTTATCGAACACTTGTAAAACCAACTCTTTAATATTTTTAGTTTTAATTTTAAAGTAAATAATAATGTTCCGTGTTGTATTATCTCGCAATTTAAATTTAAAGTTCGAATTAATAGGCGATCATGGTGACATAGTTTAGGCGTCCCCAACACTAGTTGGCGCGCCGAACGCTATTGAAAAGGTTACCACTGCTTTTACACATTCATAGACGTGACAATCGCTAATAATGCCAATGCATTCTATTAGTAGAAATAACATTAGCATTGGCTATATCTATAATCCAGTTTTTTATCCATTTTCCATGAACGACTGTCATGCATGGAATGGATTATACAATAACACATATTGGCCACGATTTTTTCAACATGGCGACGTTTATATTTTCCGAGTCGGGAATAACAATTGTTATCAATATCCAATATAATGCAGCACCTGGCTGGTGGATATCCTCATGTGAGCGCTGCGACGATAACCCTCGTCCGAGTATAATTTCGGGATCTCGATACCATTTTCGAGAGCTGTCAATTTCAGTCCAAGGAGATGTCTATCGACTCCTAATCCTTGTAGAGCCTGTGAAAATACGAGCAGCGTTACTTTTTCGGTAGAAAATATATATTTCTATATCTATACCACTAACGCGTAAACACACACTTTTTACTATGTAGAATTTCGGCAATCATAGTATATTTATATTTAAATATATTTTTTTTTAAATAAAAATCTCTAAACCACATACGAACACGATAACGTAACGGTTAACGACACGATACGTTTCAGGCTGTATATGTCGCACTACTAAACTTAGAGATTAAATAATTTGGATAAAACCGCCATCTGAGAAAGAGATAAAAACTGCAAGCTGATAGCATCAAAGTTATCCAATATCCAAAGGCCTTTGTTGTCATTTGTTCATTGGAATTTTGACATTCGCAATTGAAATACAAATGTAAACAATAAAGTATTTTTTTTATAATTTCAATTTAGAACAGCTAGTCTTACTAATATTATAAATGCGAAAGTTTGGATGGATGTTTGTTAGAGTTTATAGGTTAAAAAACTGGTGAACGGACCTCGATGAAATTAGGCAAAGATTTAGAGGATAGCCTGTAAAAATACATAGGATACGTATTTTTGTACTCTAATTCCAGGCGGACGGAGTCGGGAGCTACAGCTAGTGTTGCAGCAGCTACAAAACAGTTAAGCAATGAGGGACCTGCACGGTGTAGTCCTTGTGCGCGTGCACGGCGGAGCGCATGGCGCGCAGCTGGTCGTGCGGCGCGCGCGCGTGCAGCATGGCGCGCGCGAACTCCAGCGACTCCGGCGAGCAGGAGCGGATGGTCTCCGTGCGCCCGCCCACGAACATGCGCGTCGCCGCCGACTCGTAGTGCGCGCCCGCCGTCCCGTGCACCCTGCACACGCACCGCTGGACACTCTATACCATCTATTATATCTACCATATATCGACGGGTGAAAAGCTCTTTGTTTCAACCATTTTAGGCGATATTGACTTTTATATACAATATTCAGAATCAGCGAATTTTTCTGCGTCGTTTGAACCTGGTTTCATAAAGATCAGAACACTTTTGTGGCGCTTGAAACAATCAAAATGTAGGTTTCGTATTTTTTCTAAAAATGAAAACTTTAAATGCCTCTCTTAACGTTGGACCTAATGGCTTTTAAAACAAATATCCTCTCACCCATCGATACCAATATTGTGTTTTTTTATTATTTTTTTAATTTCATGCGGGCAAAGTCGCGAGCAACAGCTAATTTAAAATATTTATGTAATTCATCTTTATAATAAACTAGCTTTCGACCGCGACTCCATCCGCGTGGAATTAAAATAAAAAACAAAAGTTAGTAGCTTATGTATTGTTCCAGACTATACTCTACATGTATGCCATCACCGAAATCCGTTCAGCAGTTTGGGATACAAACATCATCCATCTAAACTATCGTATTTATAACATTAGTATGATAATGTTGTATATTTATGTAAAATTCGAAAGATATATATACCTGTAAAACGCATATTGCATAGCCATCTGCAGATAGCTGTCGGGGCTAAATTTTTGTGACTTGATAAAATTCTTTCCATAATCATCAAATGTGAAGCAATTTAACTCAAGGTCGTCCACAAGTCTGAAAACAGTACAAATAAATGAGTAAATATCAAATTGTCAGTCAACTTGTACTACCAACTTTTTATATCTTTTAAGCAACATTTGAGCATATTTCGTAATGTGATTTCCAATATGAAACATACTTGTCTACATTAGTTTTGGCAGTACTGATCATGTCGGCGACATCAGCGTTCACGTTAAAGTTAAGTTTGACAGGCTCCTTGGGACTTGATGATGATTCACTACTTGTACTACCCTTATCTCTGAAAAACAAGAAAATACTACTATAACCAAGGAAACACAAATATACAAGAGATCTTTAAAAGGTTTCTATAATACTTAGGGGATGAATTAATAAATAGGATTATTAACATCACCCTCCCCTTTACCAGCTTTATTCCAGTCTTTTTTCAGTTTTTTAGTTATTTTTTTTTCAGTTAATTTCAGTAAGAGCGAGTTACCGAAATTATAAACTTACATGTAGTTAATAATGAAGTCTGTGAGGACGGCTATAGGCTGTCCCTCGGCCGGAGAGTGCTCGTACGTCAAGCCTGTGACACCATCCGCGCCCACTATGAACTGAAAATAATAGCCGAATAATCAGTAAAGTTGTGTAAACACAAAATTAAAAACCATTTATTGCTTGAAAAAAAGTCCATATTGTTGACAAGCATAACATCTAATATATCGTATATTAATTTGTGTAAAATAAAGCGGGTTATCGATTACAAATTTTATACATTTGATAAGCATAAAATGTAAGAGCGCGCGCACA